GAATGGCCCATACAGGGATCAAATCCATGGCTCTGGAATTATTAGTCCCATCTAATTATTATTAGTCCCAGCTCTGACCAAATGAGCTAATTTCTCCTAGGTTTCTTTCATACAAGCATCTTGCTGAAGGAGATTCACTGGCACATCCATTAGCAGTACACTGAAAGCTTGGGCTGAGCACTCATGCCAAGGATTAGGAGTCTTGCTTCTGCTTCAATAACTTGTATATCTTACATGATTCTTGTTTCTGGTGTACACAGGTTCTAAATCACAGCAAGTCATTACTTAGCACAGCGTTAGAGCCAAGGGCCTCACCATAGATCTGGAACAGGAGGAGGATGTGAGTCACACCAGTATTTGATGAATTGATGATTAAGACTTGTCTTAACTCCTGATTAAGACACTGACCTTGTTCTAGGTATCTCTCTTAGGCATTCAGATATTTAATCATGGCTTTTCTTCTATAGAGGCAGTTTTTGCTATACTCATTTGTACAGGATGGTTTACCCTGTGAGCAGTCCTGCTGATTTTTGTGGAGCCACCCAAGCAAAAGGTACTTGGTGGCACAAGGCTGGGAGGTAAAAGTCATCCAATTATTACATGTACAGGTACTCCCTGTGGTAAAAAAAATCACTATTTACTTTTGTCACAGATTTTGTCATCAGTGTGACAAAAAATATTAAAATACTAAATCTGTAATTAGGTATTTTGAGTTTTGCAGAGTTTTTTCAATATCCACTGAAGAAATTTTTCTTGAACTCCACAGCGGAGTTCCACCCACTTCCAATGGGTTTGTGATATTTCAAGGTTTAAAAAAATCACATGAAATGGAACTATGACTCCTGCATAATTTTCTACATAAATTTTCTTGGAACTACAGCTTATTCCCTTTTAAATTTTCTAATCAATAAGACTGAATTTTTTCCATTCTAGGTATCCACAAAACCTTCAGTTTAAAATGATCATAGAAGGAAATATTGCTGGGTTAGGGTTTTTTCCTCACAATAAAGTATTCAAGAAAAAAGTTTCTCAAGAAGCTCTGATTTTTCAGGGCTGTGAAGGAAGAGACTGGGATGATCTTGGGAAGGGACAGTGATGCTGATGTCACATACCAATATGTGCCCCTTGGGCCAGTTCTCCTGGACAGCCTTTTTGCTCTCTTGGCAACGACATCACTTTTTTCCCTTGTGTATTGTTTTATGTTATTTTTCACAATGTTTTTTACCTTTCAAACTAAAACTGTGACCAGAAGCATACACACACCACTGGAAATGAGATGTGAAAGGGATTCAGACTCTTCCCACAAGCGACTCCACTGTTATGAACAATTTTGCTCAATTTCTCCAGCACAGTTCATACTCTTACAATATCTTATATTACTAATACTGGTAGTGTTAGTTATTTGTATATATTATATTATGGCATTATTTCACTTAAGGTACGTTAAAGTATGCTTCTAAAGCATACTAACCATTTCACTTGGTTTCTGGGTGAGACCAAGAGTAACCAGGAGAACTCTGAGTGCAACCAGGATTTTTTTTAAAGCAGCAACCTGAAAACACTAATGCAGTTGCACCTTTCTTACTGATTATTCTCAAACCTGACTGAACATGATTCATGATCAGCTGGCTGCCTGTGGGTGACTTCCTTGGTTATTCTCCAAGGAATACACCTGTATTATATTTGGCCAAATGATTTTAATATCAGCAACTGATTATGTTTTCCTCAGCTCTGGGTGATCTGAGTTTCTTCTTGGGTGACTGTTTAATATGTACTGAAAATACAGTGCCTTGATAAATGACAGAAAAAATCAGAAAATGAACCAAGCTGTGTCATGCAAAACCATTAAATACTTGCAGAAAGCTTGGGCTCAAGTCCCAAAGTTGTTCTTGAATGTTACACCTTCACAAGAAAGGGAAGATTGGAGGCATAAAAAGTGTGACTTGTTTTCTAGAGGGAAATTTGTAACCTTCCATAGACCAGCACAAGCCTGTGGCCTGTCTTAGTGGGTCTGTTACCTAGGAGTGAGAGAGAGATGCATGGCCCTGCATAACCAGAGCACTGCAGAGGAGAAAGTAATCTACAGGGTAAATCCACAGAGTTGCCAGCATTTCAACGTCCTTTTTAAAAGATGAATGAAGATGCAAATGCTCTGGAACAGCCAAAAGGACTTTAGCTCCATCTGTCTTTCCCAGCCAGTTATTAACCCAGTGGCCATTCTGTTAGTACCAGTCATCTAACTGGAGAAGCAAGTGGTTCCACCATTATCTGGGTGGATACAGCCCCCCCAGTTTTACCCTTCCCACAGGTCTGGGTTGGTTTCCACCCCATCAGTCTCTACTCCAAACCAGGTGCTGTTCAGAAAGTCAGAAGGACTGGGCTAAAGGTGAGGGAAAAAGGATTAAAAGTGGTAGTCAGATTAAGGGTACAAGCCCTGGAATTTCCAGATGAGACATAAGGAGTGTGAAGGTCATGAAAGTCATGTAACAAACAAATAAGGACATAGACTAGAAGACATGTTGTTTTTCTTAAATCTGCCCATGCTGCCCCCCTATGCATAAAGAACTCAAAGTATACTCTATGTATAATATGTGTAATATAAACGTATGTATAATATGTATGTGAGTATACATCACATACATGCAGAAATTAATACAAAATGTACTGCAAAATGAATACAAAAATGCGGCCTGTGTCTCTTCAAAAGTGTGTGGCCTTTCTTAGGTCACAATTTTAATGACCCCGAGTATTTAAAAATGTAAAGAAGTAAAAACTACAAATGTGTGGTAATTCTAAAGGCTCATAGCACACATGCATGCATATCTTGATATTCAGAAAGCATATGTAGCCTCATTCTAAAGGCATTTTTAAAAAGCCATATCATTCCTTCTGTTTTTTACAACAAAAGTTTAGAAAGTACTCAAAGTTAAAAATAAGTGATAGAAAGGCTGTAAATATATATTGTTGTAGCTGTTTTGTCTTTTGGAAATTTCTGATGCTGAAAATTTGATGGACTTTTGTCCTCTCTGGTCACTCATGCTTACTTCAACTTGGTTTTCTGTCATCCTTGCTCCAGTAAGAGTCTTTTAGCTCAATTGTGACATCAATCACTTGGACTATAAATCTCTGCAATGGATATGGCCATTTAAATCTCCACCTGCACAAACAACAATCAGGCCTAGAAAATAAGGAGACTCATAAATCTCCACATTGGTGATTATTAATATATTGTATTTGCAAGAGCAATGTTATTAAAAAAAAGTTATTAATTAATTAGGACTGATATACTGACAATCTGTTTAGTTTAGTTTATATGCAGAGAAAACACAAACAGGGCAGAGTTAACACAACGTGAATTTAGAAGTTAGTGAATTCCCAAGAGCCCGGGGCTTGGAGATATGATATCTTAATGTACTTATCCTATTGTGAGTGGGAAGGTGTTATCTTCCAGACAAATGATAAAGAGGTGGTTTAAAGTTTAGATCTACTGTTTTTTCTTCTGGCTTACATGAGCCAAGGAAGAAAGATGGATCAAGAGATAGGCAAGACTTCCTTGCTGGCTATCAAAAATTACACTCTGCCTCCTACTGAAAATTTAATCTGCAGACAGTACATAGCACTCGGCATACCAGCTTGGCCCTCCACAGTTTTTGTTGGGTTTTTTTAATGCATTCAGAAAACTCTATGTGATGCTTACACAGATCAGCAAGAGACTTTTCCTGTGGCTCCAGTGACTTTGGATTAACTATTAAGTCACTGGTGACATCTGAGGCTGCACATCTTTTTCTGGAGCTACATGAATGCTCAGATAAGCAGCTGAATAAGCGGAATTGCTGCTGCAATAAGATCAGTCCCTGTGTGCAGTTCTTTAGTCCCTTGTGTTTGAAAACTCAAAAGGCAACCTTGAGGTTTCAGGAAGAGTGTGAGTAGGGAAGGAGTTACAGGAGCAAGTTTGTGATTCACTGACCTCTTCGGGCTCCAAATGTGGATTTAGGAGACTATTTTATATGGAGAGGGAGAAGTGATAATACAAGGTCAACTGCTTTCAAAAGCCTGCTCTGCTGAGACTGAATACACATGTGCATAGGTTTGTAGGGGTAGCATAAGTCTGTTTATTAAAACTACACAGAAACCCCCTCCCTCACACTTGTGGTAAAACCACTGGGAATGTTTGGCTTCGGGGGTTGCAGAGCCCGGCCTAATGCCCTCAGTCCCACCACTCCCACAAGAGGGGCCTTATCCCTTATCTTGCCTCTTTATTCAAGCAAAACCCCAGACTTTTGAGCATGCACGAATCAGCAGACAAAACAGTCCCACAGGTACGGCAGAATGAACCGCTGACATCTGCTCTGCACACCAAGTAAAGGTTTCTTTTCTGTGGGAACTCTACCACCCAATAACCCCTCCTGTTTCCTTCATTTCATGCACACCCTTGCCACCCCATCCACAGCCACACAGACCCTCCCCAGCAGAACAACACTCTCCCTCGGCTCAGTGGGGCTCACAGATTGCTGGGATCTTGGCCCACCTGTGGACCAGGAAGCCTCGGCAGCATTCACAGCTGGGAGGACTCAAAGGCCGAGAGTGACCGGGACTTGTCGGACGTCACCCAGGAAGGCTGGAAGAAGTCAGATCCTCCTGCCTCCAGCCCCTGGGCTGTGACGGCAAGGTCCACGCCGCTGGCCAGGCAGCGGAGCACTCCCTTCCTGGAATATGCTACTAGCTGGACAGGATGCGTTCGCAAATATAATCATCCACAAATCTCCCCCAGATTAGGTTACAGGACAGCGTTTCGACGGCACGCATTACAAAGCTCCCTGGAAGGCTTGGCTGGTGGATCTGCTGCTCTCTCTGCTCATGACCCATTTTGGCTTTCATCAAGAATCATGACACCAGCTGCCTGGGTCATCTAGAAGGCAGAGAGGGGGAGAGTAACCCTGGGCTGTAAAGGGAAGTGGGGAAGGAGAAGAGAAGGAGGAGAAGGAGAAGGAGGAGGAGGAAGCGGGAGGATAGAAAGACAGAGCAGGGGGAGAGAGAGTAAGTGTGTTGCTTTACTCCAGTTGTGAAGATTTGAATCCCAGTTCCGTGTTCTCGGCAAAGGCTTGCTGGGATACCTCATTCCCTGTCCTGTGCAAAGGTCTGTGATTGGGGATGTGGTGTGCTCAGCGGGAAGGGCCCCTCCCCTGGGCTGGATCCGCCTCTCTTATCCCCCAGATAAATTACTAGTGTCCTCACTAAATTCCTCGGCTTTCTCTCTCCCTCTCTCTCTCCCTCTCTCACACAATCTCACTCCCTCCCTCAAACACAGGCAAAGCGGGGTTGGGGGGCGGGAGGGCGGGGATCCTCTCTGGACTGGTATTGTGCCTTAGGTCCTGGGCGGGGAGGGAAGGGGAGGAAAATACTGGCACCCCTTCTCTCCTACGTCGCCTTGAAATAGATTTGAGGAGCTGCCCTTCTTCCCCCCTCCCCCCTTTCCTGCTGATCGTTTGGCATCATCCAGACCATGTCCACTGGGTCCCTCAGTGATGTGGAAGATCTGCAGGAGGTGGAGATGCTGGAGTGCGATGGCCTGAAAATGGATACCAACAAAGAGTTTGGGGCGTCCACCGAGAGCAACGAGGAGGGATCCAATGGCGAGAATGGCTCCCCTCAGAAGGGGAGAGGGGCCTCGGGCAAGAGGAAAAAAGCTCCCCCCAAGAAGAGCCCTTTAAATGGAGTGAGCCAGGAGGGAAAGCAGGTACAGAGAAATGCTGCCAACGCCAGGGAGAGGGCGAGGATGAGGGTCCTTAGCAAAGCCTTCTCCAGGCTTAAGACCACCCTACCCTGGGTGCCCCCAGACACCAAACTTTCCAAACTGGACACCTTGAGGTTGGCCTCCAGCTACATTGCTCACCTGAGGCAGATCCTGGCCAATGACAAGTATGAGAACGGCTACATCCACCCAGTCAACTTGGTAAGTCGCAGTCTGCCGGGGACAGGCGCTCCGTGTCTGTGCATGGGGAGAGGGGGGGTGAGGAGCTGGAGTGGGGCATGTGCGGGGACACAACTTTGCTGTGCTTCTCACAGAGAACCTGGTGCCAGTGGGGTGGAAAGCGGCACAGTACAAGGGAATAGGCTCCCAGCTACCCTGCTGCCCTGTGCCCTGAGCACCAAGCCTCCTAGGCCTCCTCTGCTGCTCCTGGCAATCCCTTCCAGGAGACAGGCAGCCACGCCGGACACAAATAAGCAGGGGCAGGCTTTACACTTTACTGCCCCAGAAACCACATCGGGTTGGTGGCAGCTTTCTGGGCAGGTATAGCAATTTGGGTAGAAGAGGGTGTGTTTGAGGAAGGACCCAGGATTTATTCTTATCCTGTGTCTCTACCCTAATGTTTCCTGACACAATACTGTCCCCAACCACTAGCTTTTCAAAGACAGGACTCGTGCTCAGCAGCTCAGGTTTGCTGAGTCCAGGACATTTCTCCTATCCCTGTAAACTGGCACAGGAGAAATAAATACCAGTGCAGACTCCCCAGAGGTGTCTGCCCCAGGCACACTCTACAACGCCTCTCCCTGGGCTGTGTGGCGTCCCTCCTGCTGCTCCCACCACATAAAATTTTACTGAGCAGCCCTGGATCTCCCGACCGTACCCGGCCGCCAGAAATATCCAGTTTCCAACTCTAAAAATATGTACAAATGATGTAAACTGGGGATAAGAAAGATCTGCCTGGGCTCTTTTTAGACATACAGCCTTTACACTGCCCACACGTGCAGACCCTGACTCATAAATGGATCACAGAGGGGAGCTGGGGATGTTTCACTGAGGTCAGGCTCTGCCTTTTGAGCTCTGGGCTCTGGGGGCAAGTACGCTACCCGCTGTGTCAGCTGCTAAGGGCCTGGGAGATAATTTTTGATTAAAAACAAAATCCTCAGCGCACCAACACAGGAAAAAAATAAGTAAACCAAACCAGCACCCAAAATAGATAGAACCTCCCTCCTCTTCTGCACAGAGGCACACCAAAACATTCTCCCGGAGCTGCGGGAGGCCAGGGAGAGCGGCCGGGGGCTGCGGGGGCTCCGAGCAGCTCCGGCGCCCGGGGTAGCGCGGCGAGGCGTGCGGCGGCTCCCGCTGGCCGCAGTCCCCACGCCGGTCACGAGCAGACGCGGGGGGAGGCGCGGCTACGGCGGGGTGACCGCGGCGATTATGCCGGGGGGATGCGAATTGTGCCGGAGCCAGGCGGCTCCTTTCTCGCTCCCTTCTGCCGCGGGTCAGACGGGCTTCGCCGCCCCGAGGACGCGCGGTGGGGACCGCCGG